TATTTTACTTTGGCATTATGTATCATAAACCTTCAAAAGTCATTACAATGGTTTACATGGCCCTCCATGATCTGGCCTCGTCTCTTAACTGCTTTCCTCTGGTCTCACTCAGATCCTGATACCATGGCTCCTTTACTGATCTTCATATACCCCAACTGTACTTTTTCCTCCAGGCTTTATATGTATTTTCACTTCTGCCTGAAGTGTTCCATTCATTGAATGTTTCAGACACTGTGAGAGGCACTTTTCTTTGACCATGTTTTTCATTAAACCACTTCACATATAGAGTTAAGAACCCTAAAAGAGTATACTTCCATTTCTTCTCTCCTATTCTACATGCTGTTGTCATACATTTTACATCTATATATGTTATAAACTCTGCAATACATTTTTAATATTTTTGCTTTAAATAATCAATTACATTTTTTTCTTTTTTAGTTGCTGTGAAATATGTTTTATATTTACCCACATGTTTACCATTGTTTTGTATAGATCCATATTTTTGTCTGGCATTATTTTTCTTCTGTCTGAAGTACTTCCTTTAACATTTTCTGTGGTATGTGGCTGGTGGTGGTGAATTCTCTCAGATTTTGTTTGTCTGAAAAAGTCTTTTTTTAATTGAAAGATCAGTGATTTACAATATTATATTAGTTTCAGGTGTACAACACAGTGATTCAATATTTTTATAGATTATATTCCATTTAAAGTTATTAAAAATAATGGCTATATTTCCCTGACAATATATCCTTGTTGCTTATTTTATGTATGCCAGTTTGTATGTCTTAATCCCATACCCCTGACTTGCCCCTACTCCTTTCCCTCTCCGTACTGGTAACCATTAGTTTGTTCTCTACATCTGTGAGTCTGTTTCTCTTTTGTTATATACATGTGTTTGTTTTATTTTTAAGATTCTGCATATGAATGATAACATATAGAGTATTTGTCTTTCTGTGACTTACTTCACTAAGCCTCTAGGTCCATGCACATTGTTGCCAATGGCAGAATTTCATTCTTTTTTATGACTGGGTAGTATTCCATTGTATGTATATATACCACATCTTATCCATTCATCTGTTGTTGGATACTTAGATTGCTTCCATATCTTGGCTCTTGTAAATAATGCTGCTATTGGAATGCATGTATGGTTTTGAATTAGTGTTTCCATTTTCTTCAGATATATACCCAGCAGTGGAATTGCTGGATCATATGGTAGTTCTATTCTTAGTTTTTTGAGGGACTTCCGTACTGTTTTCCATAGTGGCTGCACTAATTTACATTCCCACTGAGAGTGTACTTGGGTTCCCTTTTCTCCACATCCTCACCAGTGTTTGTTGTTTGTAGACTTTTTGATAATAGCTATTTTAGCAGATGTAAGGTGATATCTCATTGTGGTTTTGATTTGCATTTCTCTGATGATTAGCAGTGTTGAGCATCTTTTCATGTGCCTGTTGCCCATCTGTAGGTCTTCTTTGGAAAAATGTCTATTCAGTTCTTTAATCGAGTTGTTTGTTTTTTTGATATTGAATTGTATGAGCTTTTTATTTATGTTTTGATATTAACCCCTTATCAGTCATAGCATTTGCAAATATTTTCTCCCATTTAGTAGGTTGTCTTTTCATTTGTCAATGGTTTCCTTTGCTGTATAAAAACTTTTAAGTTTAATAGGTCCAGTATATTTATTTTTGCTTTTATTTCTTTCGCCATAGGAGACAGATCCAAAAAAAATATTGCTAGGATTTATGTTAAAGTGTTCTGCCTATGTTTTCTTCTAGAAATTTTTGGTTTCAGGTCTTACACTTAGGCCTTTATTTTGAGTATATTTTTGTATATGGTATGAGGAAATGTTCTCATTTCACTCTTTTACATGTGGCTGTACAGTTTTCCCAGCACCACTTGTTAAAGGGACTGTCTTTTCTCCATTGTATATTCTTGCCTCCTTTGTTGTGGAGTGACCATAAGTGTGTGGGTTTATTCTGGGCTCTCTATTCTGTTCCCTTGATCTATGTGTCTGTTTTTGTGTCAGTACCATGTTATTTTGACTACCGTAGCTTTGTTGTATAGTCTGAAGTTAGGGAGCATGATACCTCCAGCTTTGTTCTTTTTTTCCTGAAGATTGCTTTGGCAATTCAGGGTCCTTTGTGGTTCCATATAAATTTTAGGATTATTTGTTTGAATTCTGTGCAAAATTTTTTGGCTATTTTGAAAGGGATTGCATTAAATCTATAGATTGCTTTGGGTAATATAGCCATTTTAATAATATTAATTTCTGCAGTCTTTCTATTTCTTTGTATTGTCTTTAATTTCCTTCAGCAGTGTTTTATGGTTTTCATAGTATAGGTCTTTCACTTCCAAGACAAGGATGCCCACTCTCCCAACTTTTATTTAACATAGTATTAGAAGTCCTAGTCACAGTAATCAGACAAGAAAAGGAAATACAAGGCATCCACATTGGAAGGGAAGAAATAAAACTGTCATGATTTGCAGATGATATGGTACTATATAGAGAAAATTCTAAAGTCTCCACGAAAAAAAACTATTAGAATTAATAAGTGAATTCAGTAAAGTTGCAGGATATAAGATTAATATATAGAAATGTGTTGCTTTTCTATACGCCAATAATGAACTATCAGAAAGAGAAAGCAAGAAAACAATCACCATTTAAAGTTGCATCAAATTGGCTTCCCTGGTGGCGCAGTGGTTGAGAATCTGCCTGCTAATGCAGGGGACACGGGTTCGAGCCCTGGTCTGGAGGAACCACATGCCGTGGGGCAACTAGGCCTGTGAGCCACAACTACTGAGCCTGCGCGTCTGGAGCCTGTGCTCCGCAAAAAGAGAGGCCACGATAGTGAGAGGCCCACGCACCACGATGAAGAGTGGCCCCCACTTGCCACAACTAGAGAAATCCCTCGCACAGAAACGAAGACCCAACACAGCAAAAATAAATAAATTAATTAATAAACTCCTACCCCCAACATAAAAAAAAATAATAAAAAAATAAAGTTGCATCAAAAAGAATAAAATACCTAGGAATAAACTTAACCAAGGAGGTTAAAGACCTATACTCTGAAAAAGTCTTTATTTTTCATTCATTTTGGAAAATATTTTCCAAATGTTTTCTCAACCAGGTATAGAATTCTAGATAGGTTGTTGTTATTGTTTTTATCCTTATCTTTGTTCTACTGTTATATTTCTTTTTTTGGATGTTTCTAAGGTTTTTGTTTTTACTGTTTATCACTGGGTTGTTTTATTTGTTGTTGTTGTTTTATAGCCAATTTGATTATGATGTGCCCTACTTTATTTTTCTTTCCATTTATTCTCCTTTGATTTTGGATATGTGGATATGGATATGTTGGATATGTGAGTTTGTGGGTTTCATCAAATTTGAACTCTTTTTAGCAATTAATTCTTGAAATATATTTCTGTTCATCACCCTTTCTTCTTTTGGGGCTCCAATTACATAGCTTGTCATTGTCCCACAAGTCTTTTTTTTTTAGTTTTTAAATTTTTCTTTCTTTCTCTCCATGCTTGCTTTTTATAGTTTCTATTGCATGCCTTCAAATTCATTGATCTTCCACAAAATCTTATCCTGTTTATCCCATAAAGTGTATTAAGTTCAGATGTAATTTTCATCTCTAGAAGTTCTATTGGGATCTTTTTAATATCTTCTGTTTTCTGTGCATTATGTCCATGTTTCCTTCTATATTTTGAGCATATAGAACCTATTTATAGTGACTGTTTTAAAATTCTTCTGTAATTACATCCATCATTTCTGTCATTGCTGGGTCTATTTATTTCCTTCTGGTGATGGTTCATATTTTCTTACTTCTTTGCATGCTTGGTAGTTTTTACTATATGCTGATGTTGTGAAACTTACAGTGTTACATGGTATTTTTATATTCCTTTGAAGAATGTTTAACTTTGTTCTGGCACTCAGTCAAGTTACTTGGGATCAGTTGGACCCTTCTGAGACTTGCTTTTAAGCTTTTATAGGATAGGTATAGAGCATTCCATATCTAAAGCAAGTTTAGGCCAATTACTATGATGCAGTACCATTCTGAGGACTCTGCCTGATGCCCTGTGTATCATATGAGGGCTTTCCACTCTGGCTGTTAGAAGCACAAACTCTTCTCAGCCTTGTGCTATCTTTGTGAATTGTTTCATTTTCTGCTTTCTGGTAGTTCTTTTTTCAGCCTTGGGTAGTATGCTTTATACATACACAGACTCTTAGTCAAAGACTCAAGTGAACTTCTCTGCAAATCCCTGTAGCTTACTCTCCTGTAGCTCTCCCACCTCCTGTAGTATTCTGTCCTGCAAATTCTAGCCTCATTGGTCTCCCTAAACTCCAGTCTTTGTCTCTTCTACTCAGTGAGAATGTTGGGCCCTTTTGTGTTTGCTCTACCTATCCCACTGTCTGGAAGCCTTCAGGCAGTAAGATGGGGCTGTTATATAGCTTTTGTTTTCCTCCTCTAGGGGATCATAGTACTGTGCTCTTTGTCATCCAGTGTCTGAAAACTGTTGTTTTATATATATATTTTTTTAGTTTCTACATGTTTAATGTGAGAGAATAAATCTGGTGCCTGTTTTTCCTTATTGCTGGAACTCATTATGATTTTTATAAGTTTCTTTGTGGTAAACACTTTGGAATTTATATCTTTAGAAGTGTTCGTTTGACAGTACTGTGTTCAAGGGGAGAGAGCCTTTTAAAAGGAAGATGTACTAGAAGCTAATTTCAAATAGTGAACATGTCAAGTGGTAAAGCATTAAACTAAAAGTGGTTGTGGTAGGAATGGAGAAAAGGGGACATATCTAAAATACATTTTTGCAGGAAAAATGGACAAAATGTGGGAACTGCTTGTCATAGAGGGTACAGGTAGAGAAGATGTCAAACATAACTCTAACATTTTGAGTTCAGTAGAATAGTGGTACAATTAAAAGAGGAGGAGTAAAAGATTATTAAATTCTACTTGTTTGTTAATATTATTTTATATTACATATTATAGGAAATGGTGACAGAAATGTATTCTGGCCCTTGTGTAGCAATGGAGATTCAACAGACTAATCCTACAGTGACATTTCGAGAATTCTGTGGACCTGCTGATCCTGTAAGTTATTGTTTAAAACATAAAGTTTGTTTTATCCATTAACTAAATATCTTAACAGGTTTTTGATGGTTTTAGTTCTTTAAAAGAAATAATACAAAATGAATGTAATAGATACAAATTTTTATTCAAAATCGCATTTTACGTCCTTTATTTCTTATACAGTATTGCCACAAAAGTGAATTTTTATTAGCCTCGTGACAATATAGAATGGGCAGAAACACTGTGGCATTTTCTTTTATTGTTTCTTGTTGCTAAATTGTGTAGGTAAGTAAATTTGTTAAGCTCTGTGATAGAAATTGTCTAAAGTATTAATTATCCTTTGACATAGGGAGGCCATAATAAAGCTCTCAATGTGAAGAATATTGATATGGTGGCTTCATACCAGATATGTAAATAAATATGAGCAGTGGGACTTATGTGAAAAGTGATATTCTCTAGTATGCCTTTCAGTTTGCTTCAGGTTTTCTTCACATGGACATTTGGTGGTAAGGGGAATGGAGACGGGGATGGGACTGAAAAGCAGAAGTAACATTTGAATACATATGCAAAAGCTCCATGCAAATGTTATAAGCTGGGTAGGATTATAGGAAGTATTACCAATTTTAAACACTAACTATAATTTAAATTTACCCTTTATTTCACTATCACTTGTAAAGTTTATTGATGAAGAACAGCCAGTTCAATTTAATTTAATTCAGACAATTTATTGAGTTCCCTTAAATGTAAGATAAAAAATTAGCAGCACCTATTTAGAAGCCAGCTTGTATGAGAGTGCTGCTAGATTAAGCCCTGTAGGAAAAAACAATACACCTGTTCTCAACAATCAAAAAGCGCATACAGGACTTCCCTGGTGGTGCAGTGTTTAAGAATCTGCCTGCCAATGCAGGGGACACGGGTTTGAGCCCTGGCCCAGGAAGATCCCACATGCCGTGAAGCAGCTAAGCCCGTGTGCACCAACTACTGAGCCTGCGCTCTAGAGCCCATGTGCCGAAACTACTGAAGCCTGTGTGCCTACAGCCTGTGCTCTGCAACAAGAGAAGCCACCACAATGAGAAGTCCACACACCACAACGAAGAGTAGCCCCTGCTCGCCACTAGAGAAAGGCTGCGCACAGCAACGAAGACCCAGTGCAGCCAAAAGTAAATAAATTTACAAAAAAAAAAGCACACACATAAAGATCTTTCCAAACACTTACAGAGCAACATACTAGTAAGGTCTAAAATATTGTTAGTTCAGGTAAAATACAAATGGTGAAGGGTTGTTTATTAAGGGAGCAATTAGTATGACCTGAAGGTAATTAAAGAATCTTTGTAAGAGGAAGAGAGATGTAAACAGGGATTTTAAAGATGAATCAAGGCATGAAGAGAATAGGGAAAGCTGTAAAACTCTATGTACAAAGATAACAATGAAAGAATTTGAAGATTTACTATGGTATACAGCAGGAATATTTGCTTGGCTTCAATGGGAAATGCATACCTAGAAACACAAGGAGATATGTTTTCTGAGAGGAAACAAGGTAGGGAATACTGGTAGAGATGAGTATGGGATGCATAGCTTTAAAAGCCAGGCTAAAAATTATGGATTCTGTATAATTAGAATACTGTATAGTAGAAAATAGGAATTCCTTGTATGTAGTTTAATTTTGGATATACTAAATTATTCCTTTGATGAAACTAGAGCAAACTAAATTGGAAGAGATTAAAGGCAGGGGCTATAGAAAAGGAGAGGAGCAGACCTGATGACATTACTAGAGAAAGAGTTGACAGGACCTACTTTATATCTTTTCAGGGAGAAAGAAGAATAGAAGTAAGTAATATGTGTGATTGTGAAAGAGTGATTATTAAAATGTGATTCTGCTTTAGAGGACATTAGGAGAAAGTGGTGGTGATATTAATTATTTATTAAATATTAATTGTAAGATATTAAGAAGGAATACTTTTTGGCTAGATGAATAAGCAGAACTCAGTGTTTGCCGTTTTTAATTTTTGATTTGTGTTTTATGACCAAGAGGGGGTTTTGTTCATTTGTTTTTTAAGATAATTAAAATTATGGGTGACCAGCTGACCAGAGGTAAATTAGAGAGAAACTAAGACAAAAAAAAAAGAATGAGATGAGTTTGTTCATTCTTTCATTCATTCAATAAATATTCATTGAACCTGTGCTGGTATTTGTGACTATAAAGAAAGAAGCTTTAAACAGCTTACATTCTATGAGTGGGCACAAATACATAAGTGGTTAGTTTCCATGTTTTGTGGCAACTGCATTGTTGGATGTTTGTATTGGGTACTATGGGAGCCCAGAATCATAGCATTTAGCTTAGTCTGGGGATGGATGATGAGGTCAGGGGAGTCTTCTTGAAGAACATGACATCTGAGCTAAATTATGAGGAATGAGTAGATGTTAGCTAAGTGAAGAAGGTGGGGAATGATAGGAGTAAAGTTATGAATGCATAAAACAGCATCACTTTTGGGCGGCAGCAAACTGTTATTACTGTAGCTAAAGTACAGGGCAATGAATGATAGAAATAAGGTCATTGGGGGAAGAGTTGGAAAGTGAGCAGGTGAGTAATCATAGAAGGAAGAGTCCTGACAATAAAAAAATTTGCTGATTCCCTTTCTTTCTAGATATTTATTCAGTGAACATTTATGGAATGAATAGTATAATATGTACAATATGTATAATATGTATAATATGCTTGGTCCCATGGCTGGGCTATAACAAAGATGACTAGAACAAGGTATCTTCCCTTAAGGAACTCATAATCTCTTTCAGCGTCCTAAGTCTTGCGTCATTAAGCATAGTTGGAATTACTCCACTATATTTTTTTCATTTTAGTTATTTATGAGCCCCTTATTGCATTATATCACTACAAAGTTGTATCACAGGGATTTTAAAATTTGGTACTAGTTTAACATATAAAATGTTAACAGTGGCTGTCTGGGTGGTAGGATTATAATAATGTTCAATTCTACTTTCCTGTATTTTACAAATTTTCTTCAAAGTATTTATATTACGTTTATAATTAGAAAAATACATTTTATTTTATCATAAAACCTGAAAGTAAATGAACTTCTAAATGAGCAGTTGGGGCTGATTCAGGACTGATTTCTCCTCTTTAGTCTCAGGGTCCTGAATTATGTACTGTTCCTAAGTATAGGTACAGGATTTCAAGGGGGACCATATGCTTTTTTAAAATTTAGTTTAATTTGGGGGTGTTTTTATTTTTTTCTTAATTTTATTGAAGTATAGTTGATTTACAATGTTGTCTCAGTTTTAGGTGTGCAGCAGAGTGATTCAGTTATACACATATATAAATATCTTTTCTTTTTCAGATTCTTTTCCCTTATAGGTTATTACAAAATATTGAGTTTAGTTCCCTGTGCACAACGATATGCTTTTGATGGGTATTGATGGGTATTTTCAAGTCAGAAGAAACACCATTAGTAGTTACAGTCAAGCTTTAGGGACAATAAAATGGCTCTTACAGTTTGGTCTCAGACTTTAGTTCATTTTGTCCTTCTTCCTCTCTCTTTCTCCCTTTTCTCCCACCTTTCCAGTAAATAGATATTGAATGTTTACTACATGCCAGCCACTATGCTAGGTGCTACCAGGTTTATATTAATAAACAAATACAGTTCTTATCTTTGAGGAACTTAATGGTTTAGCTCTAGGAGGCAGAATTGATAATTAAACAGAAATCTCACTTTTAACTGCCAGGTGTGCCAATCTGTTCATGTGTTATATAAAAATAATTTAGAAATTTATTTCTTCACTGCTTAGTAATTCCCACGTATAAAGTGAGAGCCTTGGTTACAATACACGTCAATATAATTAGCACTTGGAAGAAAGCCAGGTACATAATGGCCATACAATTAATATTTGTTGAATTAATGAATACACTGGCTGTATTTTTACACCTACTTAACAACTGGTACTAATTTATTGTTTGAATGTATTTAATCTACAAAGTGGGTCCCTTTTTTCTTTATACATTTCTAAGATGTAGAACTACTTTTTAAGTTGATTCAAAAGAAGATTCGGCCTAACAGTGATCATTAGATCACTTTGTAACCATACAGTTGACCCTTGAACAATGAGTGGAGGGGCACCAAGCCTCTGAGCAGTCAGAAATCCATGTGTAACTTATAGTCATCCTCCCATATCTGTGGTTCCTCCATATCCATGTTCTGAATCCACAGATTCAACCAACCGCAAGTTGTGTAGTAGTGTAGTATTTACTGTTGAAAAAAATCTGCATATTAGTGGACCTGAGCAGTTCAAACCCTTGTTGTCCAAGGGTCAACTGTATATGTTGTATATTGACATCACTTTCATCATTGATATCTGCTATTGGCAGAGATTCTGCCTCTCTGTGGTCTCATAGCTGGAAGGAAACAGTCATATGTATGAATGGAATTTCTTCCAGTCTGTCCAGAAGTGGTCTCCAAAGAGGGGGAGGTGCACAATACAATACATTGTGTGTGTGTGTTGGGGGGGGGGATTATTAGACTTTCCATTTATATTTATTTACCATATGAAAAATAAGAAAAACTAAAGTTTGATATAGTTAATGTGTGGACTAATAAGAGTACATGTAAATAATCTATTAAAATAGATACATATTTTGATGTATGTACGTATTCTACTCATAAGGGTGCTTGAAAAATGTTGGACGCTACTATATAGAATGGTAAAATTGTCACAACAGATTCCTTTATAATTACAGAAGTATTCACTCACCACACAATCACCTGCAGAAAATACATTCACTTAGGCAGAAAATCAGTTCCAGATTTGCCTCTGGAAGAGATTTTAATTGCACCTGCTGAAGAATTTCACTGTTGAGTAGCTTGGCAGTTTTCCTGCTGAGCCATTAGGAACCTGAAAGAGTCACCAAAGAAGTGGTAAATTGTTTGGAAAAATCATGCAGAATATATTTGTTCTTGGACTGGTGAGTATGACAAGCCAAAATAACCTAACATAGGTATGCCGTATTTTAT